ACTGTTACTTTGATGAGGAGGGGAGGACTCTGTTGTCTGCAAAACAGGAGCAAGAGATTAGTCAAGTAATGAATCGGCTAACTGGTTATGCAATTTAGTAATGACAAAGTTTACCTGGGGTATGACGTCAGGGAATAGATCTGTCATATACATTGAAGTCGATTGATGAAATAGATGCAGCTTCCATTCACCCCACCATCTGTCAAACTTTTTGCTTCTAAATCCTGCCAACTCAATATTATTAATGCTGCCCAAAGGGGGTCCTAGTAGGTTAAGTAGCCGATCCATCATTAGAGTGGATGTGATTTGTCCTGGGCACTGAATCTTGTCGGCAAAGAATAAGCCGATTGGGAGTTGGCCCAATCCAAGTTGTCTGGCCGAGCTCATTAGGTGATAAAACTCGTATGAGACTTGGATGTTTCTCCCTTGGTGAATGCCGACAGGGAGGATGCATGGGCTGATTGCAGCTATAAGAATTTCTCTGGATTTTTGGAATTTTTCATGATTAATGTCTTCAAATCTAAAGTCTGATGGAAGTTCAAGGTCTGCTGAGTCTTCATAAGGAAACCAGATTTGTGCATCTTTCTTAAAACCTTCGTAGAAGCTGCAGAACCAGTCCTTGAGTAGCTCAGCCGATAGCTTCGCTCCAGCATCGGTTGGTGTGGATGCATATTCTCCATATGACATGCATCTGCGATGGGTGCGCTCTTCTCCGTCATCTTCCACAATCGGCTCTGGCAATGGGAATTCAGCTTCTGTCACAGAGGGCCGATTGACAACCTTCATGACTATCAGGTTTAACCAAGTTTGCAGCAGCCACCATGGTCCACCTGCTCCAACTATTGAGCCAACGGCTATTTTAGCCAATGCATTGTTCAACATCTGGTACAGATAGCCGAGAAGGATTTTGCCCAAAGGAAATTCTTTCTTTGATTCTAAGGCTTCGGCTACAAATTGCCAGTTGGTTGTAGGGCCACAACTGGATCCACTGAAGAGGAACTTTTCCAGCCATGAGCAAGAAAGCTACATGCTCTCGAGGGGTAACAGACCCTTGGCCCATATATGCCGCCACATAGCCAGACCAGCCACCTATGCTTTTGGTCTTGAAGTCAAATTGGTTCTTGGTGTTCATACTCATAGGGTTAGCCGATGAAGTTACATCTAATCCGGTAATCATGGTGATGTCGATTAAAGTTGGAGTCATCGGCCCTTGGTTGAATAAGAAAGCATTGATGGTGTTGGACCAAAAGTAGGTGGCGGCAGCCATCAAAGGTTCATCCTTAGCAGAATTGGCTATGGTGAGAGCAAGTGCTTGGCCGATTCCAATTTCATCGCAGTGAACTTTCTTACTAGCCGATACGCGTTGGTACCAGGTGGTCCAGCTCTTATCAGGAGTAGGTTTTTCGAGAGATGGCCAAGACTTGAAGGTATTCTTCCAGTGACCCAGGTTAGGGTTGGCTAGTCTAAAGGGGATCCGGTTGGTTTCACCGATGATGAAATCAGTGTGGTCGAGATTGTCGATTAGGCCAAGAAAATAGTGGTTTTTGTGTGAAAGGCTAGGAATCGCGACTAGGTTGGAAAGGTGCAACAAATCTAAAGGAATTGGGAAGCAGAAAACATGAGGAGAAAAGGAGAAATCAATTTCATGCGAGGAAAAGGGATCTAGCTGGTGAGGACTTACCTCAGCGTACTCGGCCGATGGCGCAGTAGAAGGGCTGGTGGAAGACGACATCGCCGCGGGCGGAGATCTGGTCGGGAACGAAATCGCCTGGAGATCGCCTTGTGCGTCGGGGAGATCGCCGGAGAGAGAGAGGGCAAAGTTGGTTTCAGTGGTGAAAACGGAGGAGGACGGTGTGAGATTTCTCGAGGGTAACGGTTAGTATTTAAAGCACGGCAGTAATGGTCGGAAAACGGCAAGGTGCGAAACTTGCTCGGAGTCGATTTACAGCAAATCCGAAACATTATCAAATATTCCGTACTTGGGGGGCATGTGTTAACAACCAAATTTGGTAATATCGGCATCGGGAAAGAAGATTGGATCGAAGCAAAGTCGGAGGCGGAGATCGAGTTCGGAAACAGAGCAGGAATCGGCTGGAGTCCAGATCGGCTACGAGTAGGATCGGTTGGGTCTGAGTCGGGCTAGGTAAGCCGATGCAGCCGATTCCGACAATGCAACTGTATGATATCGGGTTGAATTGAGGCGCTTCAAGGTGATTGCCGCACATGATAGAGTCATGAGAAGGCAATTGTATCTAGTAATTAGGATGTTTTATGTAATTACCTTAGAGATATGTTTGGGCAAAAGTCTGCCGCAAAGACTTATGGTATCTTAGAGTTTGTGAGAGATAGTAGTCGTGTCCATAATGGACATATCTTGTAATTCTCGGGTATAAATAGACCCGAGCCCTATGTAACTTTTAACACATACGTTCAATACAATCTCGGCGCATCGCCACCCTTTTTGCTTTAGTTTTATTTCGACGAGTTCTTGCTTTTGGGTTGAGCTGCATCGGTTTCGATCTTCAACAAGAGGTAAAACTTGTTATGATGAATTATGTTCTCGGGATTAGTGCTTCCATCTTTATGATACTCTAATCTTGTCTATGTAATTCGTCAAGTTATCATATATCTTACATAATCTTCGACAATATCGTCATCTAACCTACAATCGGCTAACATCTGTTAACAGAAGGCAGCCGATTTGTTTAAATAGCGACGTTGACCTAGATTATATAAGATATCTACTACTCTATGAAACTTCCAGCGGCTTGATTGTCTAGATATTGTTCTTATTTTCATACTTAATGCTACATCAGTTGAGTTTGATCTATAAAGTCATGCTTAGAATATCAATTTCTAGCCTGCCCTCTGGTCGCCGATTAGAGTAGCGTCGGAGTTTCAGCCGATCTTACCTGATTTAATCGTATTTGCTCTATATGCTTCAATGATACATTAAATCTGCCCTTTATGTCAAGATCTTACTGCATTTAAGTATATTAGGCTCTTGTTTGATATATTTTACTTGTTTTAGTATCCTGATATAGAGTAGTATCGGAGTATTAGCCGATACATGCTAGATCTATCTGATCAGCTATGCTATTAAGATATATAAGGCTGTTATCAATATATATTTTGATCTAAGTGATTCATACTGTCTCGGCATGGCGACCGATCTATCCCAGTCACTTGATTTAAGTATATATCGGTATAGGAACTATATATTGTTAATATTTACAGCTGATCAAACAGATTTAGTTCTTTATTGCCTATTTACAACCGCCGATCGATTCACATATGACATCGGCTGCCAGATAAATAATGTGTCATCGGCACCTAGCCGATCGGCTATCATTTATAGATTTAACTGCGGTTTCTTTGCTTTTATTTCTTGTTGATTATATGATCAAATCAACTGGCACGCTCATACATTCGAAGGCGAGCTTTGGACCTGCACTGGAGTTAAGCAAATCTCCCAGTTCTCGTGTTTTTGTCAACAGTCGTATAGTAAATTTTGCCTACTTAAAAACATGATAAATTCTAGCGGTGTGATTAAAGGTTATTTTAGACGTAACTTTATTAAGGGTCTATTGTTAGAATATTATTAAACATGTTTAGATGTATGTTTCCTTTTTATTATTAAATATATAAAAATTGGTGGATATATAGATATAAGTACTTTTATTTTTAGTACCTCTTTATAGCTAGACATATGTTGATAATTTTCCACTTTTAGCATATAATAATAATTGAAGGGCCGGTTTATTTTGATGCCATTTTCAATCATATCATTTTTGGCAAAGTTAAAAAAAATATGTGCGTTTAGTTTGTTACCAAATTTGGTAAATACATAAGAAATTCTGTTAAAATTTTGGCAATATTATCATCTTGTTAAAATTTGGTAAGGTTTATTTTGGCTACAATATGAACAGGTCCAAAGATTAGAGAAGTTTTTTTTTTGTTAATGAGAGAAGATTAGAGAGATAATACATAGATAAGCTAGATGATGCAATAGTGTCACCAATTAAAGCTTCTAGAGAGAAACAAAAGACATCCACGGACCACCTCGATGGTTACAAACCTTTCTTCATCCAATTAATCTGCTCGGCCTACTATAGCTCGTGTTCATGTTTGGCAGTGTTCGTTCCCACGTTTCGATATAGCGATCATGTGTGGAAAATACCATGCCATGCCATAAATAGTGATGTGGCTGTATTCAAACATACATCAAAATAGTGGTGCAACCGAAGGTTATTCCGATAAATAACTTAACTAAGCGTCAATTGTTTAAATGTTACTAAATATGTTGATCAAAATATAACAAAATGTTGCATAAATGCATAGCTTTTACTTATAGCAGAGCAACTAGCTTTTTTTTCGAAAAAAAACACGGCCTTTACACCGGAAACTATTTTCATCCCTCGAGGACATATCTCCTCGTTGTTTGCATGTCACTTAAATGATTATGAAAAAAGTTGAAAAAAATTAAGAAGATGTATTAACATGTGATATATCACTCCACAAATATGCAAATTTAAATTCAACTTCTACTTCTCACAACGAAAAAAACAAATTAAACTATAACTAGTGAACATATATTCACAGTCAAATTTATTTTTTTTATTACGAGATGTAAAAGTTGAATATGAAATTGCATATTTGTGGAGTGATATATCACATGTTAATACATCTTCTTATTATTTTTTAAATTTTTTTCATATCCATTTAAGTGACATACAAATAACGAGGGGATATCTCCTTCAGGGATGAAAATCCACTTCCCCTTTACACCTAAAACCGAAAGGATGTGCATAGCCAAGCGCCCTAGCAGTAGCTAGCTAAACAAAGGCACAGGTATGTTTTTCATAATTAGCAATAACTAAACTCCAATATTAGAAGAGATATCGAGATAGATATAATCACAAAAGCTTCTAGAATGGCGGAAAAAAAAAACAAAAACAAAAAAAAGCTGGACCGCTTTGATGGATATAAATCACTCTCTCTATGCTCTATCCAATCTCCCACATCAGCCACACCATCAAAAGCTTTTTTGGCTGCCACTCGCACCGCTCTCGTGCCCACCATGGCGCCAACGCTGGAGTCCGTTTCTGCTACGTCACCGCCGCCGCCGCCGCCGCCGCATTTCGTCATCGTCCCCTTGCCGGCGCAGGGCCACACCATCCCCATGGTCGACCTCGCGCGCCTCCTCGCGGAGCGCGGCGCCCGCGCCAGCCTCCTCGTCACGCCCGTGAACGCCGCGCGCCTGCGCGGCGCCGCCGACCTCGCCGTGCGCGCCGAGCTGCCGCTCGAGATAGTGGAGGTCCCGTTCCCGCCGTCGGCCGCCGACGCCGGCCTCCCTCCGGGCGTCGAGAACGTCGACCAGATCACCGACTACGCCCACTTCCGCCCGTTCTTCGACGTCATGCGCGACCTCGCCGCGCCGCTCGAGGCGTACCTGCGCGCGCTGCCGGCGCCGCCGAGCTGCATCATCTCCGACTGGTCCAACTCGTGGACGGCCGGCGTGGCGCGCCGCGCCGGCGTGCCGCGGCTGTTCTTCCATGGCCCGTCGTGCTTCTACTCCCTCTGCGACCTCAACGCCGCCGCGCACGGGCTGCAGCAGCAGGCCGACGACGACAGGTACGTCGTGCCGGGCATGCCGGTGCGTGTGGAGGTGACCAAGGACACGCAACCAGGATTCTTGAACTCGCCAGGGTGGGAGGACTTACGGGACGCGGCCATGGAGGCCATGCGCACGGCCGACGGCGCGGTGGTGAACACGTTCCTGGACCTCGAGGACGAGTTCATCGCGTGCTACGAGGCCGCGCTCGGCAAGCCGGTGTGGACGCTGGGGCCGTTCTGCCTCTACAACCGGGACGCCGATGCCATGGCGTCGCGCGGGAACACGCCCGACGTCGCTCAGAGCGCGATCACCACATGGCTCGACGCCATGGACACCGACTCCGTCATCTACGTCAACTTTGGCAGCCTCGCCCGCAAGGTGCCCAAGTACTTGTTCGAGGTCGGCCATGGCCTCGAGGACTCCGGCAAGCCGTTCATCTGGGTGGTGAAGGTGTCGGAGGTGGCCACGCCGGAGGTGCAAGAATGGCTGTCCGCGCTGGAGGCCCGTGTGGCGGCGCGCGGCCTCGTGGTCCGCGGCTGGGCGCCGCAGCTCGCCATCCTGTCGCACCGCGCCGTCGGTGGCTTCGTCACCCACTGCGGCTGGAACTCGATGCTGGAGTCCATCGCCCATGGCGTCCCCGTCGTGACGTGGCCGCACTTCTCCGACCAGTTCCTGAACGAGCGGCTCGCCGTCGACGTGCTCGGCGTCGGCGTGCCGGTCGGCGTGACGGCGCCCGTGCTGCTGTTCGGCGACGAGGCCATGGCGGTCACCCGGGGTGACGTCGCGCGGGCGGTGTCAAAGCTCATGGACAGCGGCGAGGCCGAGTCCGACGAGAGGAGGAGGAAGGCGAAGGAGTACGGGGAGAAAGCTCGCAGAGCCATGGAGAAAGGAGGATCCTCGTACGAAAGCCTGACGCAGCTGATACACAGCTTCACCCTGCAGGGAGCCAAGAACGCTCCAGAACAGTAAACAGTGGAGGTGCAAACAAAAGCACATTTGAATCCAGAAGTTACACACTGTTTTCTGAATATTTTTCCTTTTTGTTGGCATCAGATTTACACTGATTTACTTCTTCAAGTCATCTGTGTTTCTTATTCTGAAGAAGTTAATGGATAATGTAATTTTAGTAGTGAACAGACTTTCTTCACAATATGGACTGAGAATCCAAGAAATGCATGCCTTTTCAGAAATCAGAATATTTCTAGTTGGAACCAAAGATTTGTTCGGTTTCTTTGTTTCTTGGCTAGGAATTGTTGGCTTTTTCTCAGGCGACCAATTTCTGCACTACTTTGAAATTGCTCTACCTGAACATTTTATCTGGTTGATATCAGGGTATAAGGTTGTCAGCTTTGTGGCCTCTCATGTTTCACGTTTGGCCACCATATGAATATATGATCACCTTGCAATGCTCTCCACAATCGGATCATCTGTATGTTTCAACGAGTCTGCCGCTATCAAGTGAGCTCAATGCTGCGAAGTGAGTATAGCTTAAATGATTAGGTTTTTTTTAACTAGTCTAATCAGATTTAAGTCGTAAACTTAACACGGGTACTTATATTTACAACTAATTATTATTTTAGTGTTAGAGCAATTAATGTATTCATCGAGAATGAATCGTTCAATCTTAAATCTTAAGGTGTGTCGGCCTATTTTTTTCGGAGGGGCACACAGAGGTAAAGTGCACGTGCATGAATTATTAATGGTGTGTATATGTGTTATTAGCGTTTGTATTTATACTGTGTTTCTTAGAAGAAAAAGTGAGCTCAGTGTTTCTATTCATCTAGAAAAGACAAAGAACTCTTTGCCACTTGTGATGCCTTCCTTGGATCTCTCGATCTAATAAACCAATGATGACCATTTGCTTGTTCTCCTTGTGTGTATGACAGTGCTTTTGTCATTTTCATGAGACAAAAGTCTAAGACTAACACTAGATTGATTATTGCTTTGCAGGATACCTGCTGATGATGCTGTAAGTCGGTGCAATCAGATCTCTGTTCCTGAATCCCTTTACTCGCCCTCCACGTTCTCGATTGTATATTAGATCAGGAAAAAGGGTCTAATTCGCACATGTACATTTAAAATAGTTCCCCCTGATAAAAAAAAATACTCAGTTTTTTCTAATGAGACGGTAGGAGTGCGATTTTATTACAGGAAACATTTGATTATCTTGCAAAACTTGTACGATATATTGGCTTTATTTATAATTGGGTTTGCTAAAAGTATGGTACCACATTTTTCCTTTAATTTGAATCACTTTTAGAAAATACATGCTCAAGTAGATAATAAATTATTGTTAACCCTAATTCTATCTACATATTAGAAAAAATAGTATAAATACTAAAATTTATAATGTAATCCTACAATAAGTTTTAAATTAAATTTATAATGTAAAAAGGCAACATGATTTTTTTAAGAAAAGTATAATGTCATAAATATAATTACTCCCTCCATCCTAAATATATAAGTTGTCGCTCTAGCTAGGATTTGAATTTTATCTCAAAATTCTTGTCACTTTGGAGCTTTTTTTTGTTTTACATCAATCATTTCCAATTCAAAATTTTCCCCATCTTACCACCAACTACATCGTCACTCCCATCCATGCACTATTTAATAGGGGTACTACGATATTTTCTTGTAAAACTCACATTTTGCCAAACAAACGACAATAATTTTAGGACGGTGGTAGTACACATATTTGTCCCAAGATTTAATTTAGCGCCACAAATGTTTGTCACCAATCATCGTCTTGTGATGATTATAGAGGTCAGGATTCAGTGGACTGTAGATTCATTATTGGAAAGAAAAAACACCCGAAGCTTGTGATGGTTGCAGAGACCTTCACTGGAGCACCACAAAAATGAAAAATGATTGACGGTGCATGCTTGCTTGCGTGCGTTTCTTGGCTTGTGCTTTCTTCCTCATGGAGTGGACAGTATCAGTCCCAGTCAAGCAGTTAGCAGCTAGCTTAGCCACGCCTGAACGCCAGACCAGATTTGATGTTGATTCGCATAATTGTGGTACTACGACAGGTTGATTTCTAGATGTAATCGTTTTCATCTTGCCTTTCTAATACTCTCTCTGTTTTTTGAGTTTTTACTTGTAGACCACTTGTCTTATTTAAAAAATTTATGCAAATATAAAAAATAAAAAGTTGTGCGTAAAGTACTTTAGATAATAAAGTAAGTAAAAAAAAGTAAATAATAATTTCAAAAATTTTTGAATAAGACGAGTGGTCAAACACTATTAGCAAAAACTCAAAATCCCTTATATTATGAGACCATAGTGCCTGAAAGATCACGTAATTAAGTTGAAGATAAACCTTGTGTCTGAAGCTTTAGAACACAATCGCTTTCAGTTTTTGTTTGCGTCTGATTAGTGAGAGAAAGAATGATAGAAGCACTACATGTGAGGTTTTCTTGCTCGATCCTAAAGATGTTGAAATGTAGGGCTCGTTGGTTTAGAGTTAATTTTTTCCTATCAAAATTTTATTTTAGTAGTGCCAAAACCTTCATAAGTTTTGCCACTATCAATTTAGTATAAAAATTTGAACTAGTGTGTATAAAAGTTGGTAACAAACTAAACATTTAGTTGATACGTACCGTTGAAGTTGCTAAAGTTTTGGTAAGACAAACTATTTTTTTTAGGGATGATAGGACAAAAATTAGCTCTAAACTAAACAAACCCGTACAGTGTTCCAGAGAGCATAGCCACAAGTACAGTCACTGGGTATACGTTCTAGGAGGACCTAACTGGCAACAAAACACAATTATTAGATCTTCAAAGAAAAAAAAAACCCACACATATACACACAGACACAGGCAGCCTAGTGGCTGATGATATTTGCATCCCTGGAACAAAACATTTTGGCAATTTGTGACGACTAACTAACTGTTTTGCAGAAAACAGGGGTCGCAAGAGAATTATTAAATTAACATCGGCCCACTGTTTTGTAGAAAATGAGGCTGAAAGAGCTAACCGTTTTGCAGAAAAATGGGAACTTTTTTTTTCAAAAAACCATGATAAATATTGTCAGTTGTCACAATGTGCTGCTGTGCATGTGGGCATTTGCACAAAATGGGACAGGCCGTTGAATAATTATTATTTCCTTGATGTTTATTTTTTTATCCAGCTTTTCCAATGCAAATAGTCGATATTTATATGCAAATAGCCTCCAAATTGTGCAAATGGGAATTACATTTATATATAGTGCGAGTTTCGGAAAACATCTTTGATTTTATTACAAGTAGAGACCTAACAGTTCCGTAATATATATCTGTATTTGTCTACTCTTCCATGTTCCACGTGTTCCCATATTCAATTGCACATTTCAGTCATTTTCAGTTCTTTTTGGTAATTTAGTTGCTCTTCTGCCTAAAGTGTTCTCTGGAAGTGTATATATTGGCATTCCGTATTGCCAAGTTGCCAACTAAAAGAATATAGTGATACAATTATTGGTTTCAGTTTTGTTTAGGAAGTTGACGACCTATGTTTTAGACAAATTGATAACATAACACACACAAAAATATATGCAAAATTGTGAAAAAAGAAGTTAAGGAGAACAGCAATATCAAACAAGGAGAAACAGGAACATGCAGTGACAAAATCCACTAGAAAATTCTTGTGGTATGGGATGTTATCTAACACAGTATTAGGACTCAGCGTGGCTGCCTGTACAAAGCCTTCAGTCAATCAGTCATAGACAGAGCTAACTAGGTGACACTAGCCACAGACCAGACTAAAATTGACCCAAAGTTAAAACTATGGTAGATAGGAGTAGTTGCTTAAAATCATAAAGATATATATATATGAACCATCCTTTTAATCTTGTCCTTAAATTTAGAGATGGACCACCTTATTCTAAACCCTAACTACGCCACTGTCCTCCAGCAACAGCCACACTGGATCATTGCTACTGGTACTACGCATTCATACAAATTGGTAACCAGGCAAACCCCAACCAGGGCACCCAAAGTATCGTAGGCGCATAGCCGCTATGAGGTGGAGGCATGACTCCTACTATTCGTGCACGCTGAATTCCTCATGCCTCCTAAGCCTCGACTAAGTGCAAGCGCCGCACATTCGTGTACACATGCTACTTCTATGTAGTTCATGGAAACTTCGGCTTGTAGTGCAATTTTGATGGATCCCAATTGAGTATGTGACTGTAATATATACTACTAACAATTCAATGATATATATAATAGATGTACTAGTTATTGGACCTGAGTAAATGTAACTCTGTGTAGTTCTCTCTTTAGCCATCATCTTATTATTATGCATGCTGATTTTTGAGGTACAGACCATAGTTTGTCTCCTATAGGAGATATGGCTTTATTCTTTCTATTAGGGCCCTGTTTAGATCTCACTTTAAAATTTTTCACCATGCCACGTGCATCGAACATTTAAACACCTGTATGAAGTATTAAATATAGACTAAGAAATAACTAATTACACAGATTGCGACTAATTTGCGAGATGAATCTTTTAGGCCTAATTGCTTCATGATTTGACAATGTGGTACTACAATAAATATTTGCTAATGATGAATTAATTAGGCTTAATAAATTCGTCTCGCGGTTTTCTGACGGATTCTGTAATTACTACCTCCATTCCATAATATAAGGCACAACCACTTTTTTTAGATGTTCCATAATATAAGGCATGTATGCATGTAGGCTATTAACTATAACCTCTTCTCCATTAAATTATTACTTTTTTAAATCATCCACTCTCATGTTCTCTAATTCTGTTAGATGCATGCATTGTATTTATTAGGATGATCCAAACTATAATATGATAATAATTATTTTCTTGATTTTTAGGTTAGGAGTTGTTATGCCTTATATTTTAGAATGGAGGGATTAGTTTTTTTATTAGTATCCGAACACCCCATACGATACCCTTTATAAACACCCCCTAGAGCACACAGAAGTCAAATTCAATCGACGGCACGTGCTTACCGGCCGCAACCATCTAGGAATTAACTATGAAGGTTCTGAAAGAACAAGTGATTTCTTAGATGCGGTTGTTTGTATCATAGAATAGGACAGATGGTTCTAACAAAACCATTAATTATTAAATGGTCTCAACTCTTATATATAAAAAAACTAGTGGTAGCTATCTGTATCTCTCCACTTTCCTGTGAAATTTAATAAGGGAGATTTTTCATCTACTTGATTTCAATTACATTATTGATCGATCAGCATGTGCACTACT